TGGATCATCTGCTGGAAGTGGCGCGAAAAAAAGAAGCTACATTGCAGCAGGCACGGCACGAGGCGGCGGTGTACAAGGTTGGCGAGCACCATGTTTTGAAAAATGGCGGGAAAAGAACAGGCGGCGTTGGCGTTTCTGCGAAAAGCGACACAAAAGGTAAACAAGAGAAAGTACCATGTAAGTGCTGTGGTGGCACTAGCCACAAAGCCGCTGTTTGTAAATACAAGGAGTACGCATGTGGCAAGAAAGGGCATTTAGATAAAGTATGCTGGGCCAAAGGCAAAGTTACAAACCAAAACTTTCTAAGTGAGGAAAGTGAGGTTAAGGCTGATTGGTCGTGTAGCAAAATCTTCAACTTCAACCTCGTGCATGGAAGTGACGACCCGATGATGATCGAAGTCAATATAGGCATGAATCGTTTCAAGGCTGAGTTAGATTCGGGTTCGGGGAGATCGCTCATTCCGGAAAACTTGTATCAAAAGCACTTGAAGATCCTTAAATTGCATGAGACCAATACAGTGCTCAAAGTCTATGATAAGAGGATACTCAAACCAGAAGGTGAAATTCACGTTGATGTAAGGTTAGGTGACAAGAAAATAGCTGCAAAATTAATCATTGTCAAATCGGGCAGCAAGCTGTTATTCAGAAGAGATGTCATGAAGGCCCTGGGCTATGAGATAGTCAAAGTCAATGAGATGAGCGCCGAACTGGATCTGAAGAAGCTGCTGAAAAGGCATAGCGAGTTGTTCAACGGCAAGCTGGGAAGGTACAAGCACGGGTGGGTGGAACTGAAAGTGGAACTAGAAGTGTCACCGGTATTTTGTAAGCCACGACAAGTACCGTTCGCATTCAAGTAAAAGGTGTCCAAGCAGATAGATGAGCTTGAAAAGCTGGGAGTGAATACCAAGACGGATGACAGCTCATGGGGAACGCCCTTGGCCATAGTGCCCAAGAAAGATGGTAACATCAGGTTATGTGGAGACTAAAAGGTGACGCTGAATAGGGTGTTACGAGATTTCAAGCATCCTACTTCCACGGCCGAGGAGGTTTTCACCGAGCTGGCGGGCGGGCAAAGGTTTTCGAAGTTGGACCTGTCCGCGGCATACAATCAGCTGGAGTTAAGCGAAGAATCTAGGAGGTTGGCAGCTTGGGGCACGCCGACAGGAGTGTATCTGGTAAATCGAATGCCATATGGAGTCAAGCCAGCCTCGGCTATATTCGATAAAACCATGAAAAAAGTCATTTGCGGATCCCCCGGTGCAGTCATATTCAGAGACGACTTGGTGGTCTCGGGAAAAAACGACCAGGAGCATTTGGCTAACTTGGATGCGGTGCTTACCAGGCTTGGCCAGGCAGGCATGAAATTGAACGTGGGCAAGTGCAAGTTTTTTCAGGAAACAGGTGAAATACCTGGGACACGTTATCAATGCCAAAAGCGTGTTTAAGGATCCGGAAAAGGTAGCATCCATGGTAGCAGTGCAGCAGCCGGGAAGCGTTGCCGAAGCATGTGCATTTGCGGGAATGGTAAACTAATATGGGAGGTTCATTCCTCGGTTGGCTGAGATGATGAAGCCAATCTACGAGGTACTGAGCCGGGAGAAGTTTGTCTGGACTGCGGCAGCGAGCCGAGCCTTTGACGACGTCAAGAGGGAATTAGCGGCCGATCGGAATCTAGTGTATTTCGACCCGGAGCTGCCAGTTAAGTTGGCCTGTGATGCGTCACAGCATGGATTGGGAGCGGTGCTGCTGCAGGTGTTTCCCGATGTCACCGACAGACCCATTGGTTATGCCTCCCGAACCTTGCACAAGGCCGAAAAAAACTATTCAGTGCTGGACAAAGAGGCATTAGCCATTTACTGGTCAGTAAGGTACTTTTATCAGTATTTGGCGGGCCGGTGTTTCACATTGTGCACTGATCATAAGCCCTTGGTAGCGATTTTTGGAGAACACAAGGGCATACCGCAGGAAGAATGCAGCGATGAGCACTGTTCCTCAGTGGATTCAGTTATGATTTGATGTACGTTAGGGGCAGGTCCAACGGTGCTGCGGACGGATTGTCCAGGTTTCCACGCCAGATGAAAGAAGAAAACGAGGCAGGGTTTGAGTACGTGAATTTTGTTCAGGATCGAAATCCGGTGAGTTTAGACGAGCTGGCTAAGCAGGTGCGAAAGGACGTACAGCTCTGCAAAGTGGATGAAAGTATACAGCCGTTTGCGCAGCGCGCTCAAGAGTTGCACATAGAGAGCGGAGTGATTATGTGGTGCTACCAGGCAGTTATCCTGGAGGCGTCAAGGCAGCGGTTGCTGGAGGAACTGCACGGAGGGCACCTTGGCATCTCTAAGATGAAAGCGGTGGTAAGGCAGTTGTTCTGGTGGCCCGGATTGGACAAGGCAATCGAAGGCTGTGCCTGGTCATGTTCGGCTTGTCAATCGGAGGCTAGCGCGCCGGAAAAGGCTAGGTTGAAGAAATACCCCGAGGCAGATTGAGTGTTCCAGCGAGTGCATATTGATTTTTTAGGTCCGTTTAAGAATATAATGTATTTGATTGTGGTGGATGCATTTTCACGATGGCAGGAAATACTGGAGATACCGGGGAATAAAACTGACTCTAAGACCACTACAGAAAAGCTAAGAGAGGTTTTCGCCAGGTATGGTCTACCTGAAGTGCTGTTGTCGGACAACGGTCCACAGCTGGTGTCAGAAGAATTTGAAAAGTTTTGCAGAGCAAATGGCATCAAGCACAGGATCTCGCCTCCGTGTCATCCGGAAACAAACGGACTAGCGGAAAATGGTGTCAAGTCGTTCAAAAGAGGCATTGAGAAATCTATCAAAACAAACGTTAGTGGTGAGTTTCTGAACACCTTGATCAGCAGGTATTTGTTTGCCTATCGCACCGCTCCGCATTGCGCGCCAGAGGAGTCACCGGCGAGCCGATTTTTACAAAGGACGCCGAGGACACGGTTGACTTTACTGCGAATAGCGAAACCAAAAGAAGCGGTGGAGAGGCAGTGCAGGTACTTCAAAGGACACCGAGATGTTGAGTTCCAGGAAGGAGAAGAGGTGATTACCACAACCCAATGAAGCCAGGATGGAAGCCGGCGGTGGCGGAAAGAGTGCTGGGTGAGCGCACCTACATATGCAAGCCCTCAGAAGTGCCTGGTCAACGGTGGAAAAGGCACACAGATCAGCTGAGAAAGTCAGGCCCATTCTTCGAGAAAGAGGCCAGATAGTTGAGCGGAGGGTCATCGGAGGTGGCAAGCCACGATATAATCGCGAAGGCGCGTGAAGAGGACGGAGAAGGGAAGTCGGGTGCTGCTGATGGGCCAGAGGTAAAAGAACTTGAAACTAGAGGCGATCCGGTAGTCACACCAAAGAGTTCGCAGATCTCAGAGTCTGTGGGCCGGCCCAAACGAGTGATTAAACCCGTGCAGAGACTCAATCTGTGATAAGTAGCTGTGTTTAAGCCAGTTCTATGTTTTCTTTGTGTAGCTCAGCAATGATTGTGTTGATCTCGTATAATAGTATGTAAGAAGTGGTGTAATCATTTGCAATTAATAATGTTGGACTAATTTCATTATAAAGACTCTGTACCAAAGATTAAAAAATGTAAACCTTTTAAAAGGGGAGAGATGTAGTGTAGTATATGTTTACATATGTATGTATGTATGCGTCAGATGTTCTGCTAGGTAAGATTAGCTATACGTATTGAGCAGGGAAAATCGGTTAACGACCAGCTTCGGCATGCGAAGCATCTCTCTACCTTGCTCTTGTATTACACGTGTGTTAATAAAGACATTATTAGATATATCGTGTGTATTGCGATTCACCCCCCCCCCCTCAATGAATCGCACTCTCAATATTTTACATTGGCTTTTTTAATCTGACTTTCTTGTTGAAAGTGTCTAGACAACATGCATAAAAATGGTATAAAAAAGTGTTTTTCGTAAGATTCACAACTTTTGTACTTAACTTTTTGTTTACAAACGTAATTTAGAAAATTAATATGCTATAAAATGAATTTTTGACCTTTTTACAACGATTGTTACCGTTTAGTGTAAAGATGGCACTACTGAGAAAAACTTCCTGAACAATAAGTTTTGTTTCAATAAGCTAGAAAATCACTGTATTGAAAGATTTGTTGTTAAGTTTCAATTTCTTTCTCACGTAAGCAAAAAACGATTCTTCCGTAGTTTTCGTATCTATTTTACGTTATAGTGCATTTACGCTTTATAATAGAGTAATACGTGTAAAAAAAAGTTTTGTTTTTTTAAGATTTACAACTTTGTGGTTAAACGTGAACATGTTAAAAGTTATGAGTAAAAAACCGCATTTTCTGTTTTGGGGCACTGCAATAAGTGTTCAGTTTTTATCTCCTGAACAAAACTTGTCTAATTTTAGACCACCATTTAAAATTTTTAACGCAAAATCGTCTAAAAAATTTGTGCTCAATGGAATAACTATTACTTGAGTTAGTAAAACAACTTGATCACGTACATACCGACACACATCTACGCATGCATTGTATACGTAAACATTAGTAGACTAACTCTGATGTGTGTGTGTGTGTGAGAGAGAGAAGGTGAAAATGGAAAGTTTTATGGCAAAAAGTAAGTTTTGCTTAGTAAATGTGAGGTATGTCTTATACTCTTGTAGCCTGCTGAGTTTAGGTTTCTCTCCATTTTTTTCTATGCATTAGTCAAATTTAATTGAATCAGTGTAAAAATTGTCTTGCCTATCGGAGCATTAAATATTGGTTTTACTTATATTTACTTTAGTAGTATAGTATCGATTTAAAAGACATGTTAAATATCTTTACATTAATTTACAAAAAATTAAAACCTGTTTTTATTAAGAATGACAGAAAATCAGTGTACGGTAACACAAAAATACGGAGTTAACCCTTAAAAATATTATAATATGACTGCACAAAAAATTAATAAGTAGGAAGAAAAAAAACACAAACGGGAATTAAAGAAAATTTTTAATACAGAGCAAAATTACCTTTTTTTAATCCCAGCTGATTTTCACCCCCTGCTTGAAAATCATACAATGCGACAAAAAGTTGTGGGTCATCTTCTTCTTGAGTTAAAAGATTTTCTTTACTTGTCCATCTAAAATTTTAAATTAAATGATACAGGTGCAGGTTTTTGAGGAATTTAAATGATGTATAAAAATCTATCAACCTATTTGCTGCTTCAAGAAGGCCACTGCTCGATGAAGATGAATGTGGATCCAAGTTAAGCTGTTGAGACATAGTTTGAACACTTGAACCACTTGGAGGATCTCCGTCTGGTAGAGCAGGTATGTGAGGTAATGGTCTACTTTGAAGTAAGGCTTCTAAAATAATAATAAAAATATACTTCAGATTATTAACGGAGCTTTCAAAATATTAATTAGAAATTTATTGTTATGAAAACTTTAAGAGTAAAAACTCCCTATTCTTAAAAGCTTAGTTCACTAAGGGATTCGTTCTAAAATTTGCACTGTCCCATAATTTAGTTTTGGATTAGTCAGCTAAAGTAACTGCAGTTTATCATTCCTATCTATAAGTGATATTATTACGAATTTTCCCGAATTAACTTATGTACCAGTTCTTGCATGTATAATTTATTTACATAGATAATTTAGTTAGTACAATAAGAAACGTAACAAAATAGTAAAATGAGTGATGCAAGCAGATAAGTTGATTATAGATGTATTTTTATTATTATTATTCGTTATCAGAGAATAATGCATAGCAATATTAGGACTTTTCCTGTTTTTATGCGGAACGCTGAAGGTTTGGTAGATCGCATTAGGATCCAGTTTCTAAAAGTCTGTGTGGCGAAATAATGTTCGTTCAATACGCTCATTTTTGTTATATTTATCGAAACTAATTATTAGTAGAATAATAAAACTTTTTAATAAAAAAAAAATCAAAACGTTCTTATTAATATACAAAAATATCATTGCCATCAACAAGTAGTACAAAATAAAATAAAAATAAAATAAAATAAAATTATTTATGCGTTTATCTTGTATATTTTTAAAAATATTTAGTACAGTTTTAGCATTATTTCTAGAGCCAAAATACATATTAGTGACTTGTGCACACAACACTCTACGTTTCTTATGATACATCATTATTCCTTCATCTACCTTAGGATTACCGATTACTTACATACTTGCTCCATCACCTATTTGAACTAGTATAACTAAAAACGATACACTTTGAATTTGGCTGTTGTTGTTATTATTATTAATACAATGTTTAAGATATTAAATAATTTAAGTACGCATAATAAGATAAATATAACGTCAGAAAAATAATCAGATCCACTATTACATCTTACAATGCTCAAGTTCGGCTACACCAACTACAACCATGGAAACAGTACAATAAAATCTGCTCATAGAATATTTTGCAGTAAGAGGAAACAATTTAATGCAAGTAAACTAACAATACACGACTTTTTAAATTAAAAATTTTTTTACATTAAATTTCAGTATATTTGAAATAAAACCTTTTGTTCCAGATGCGTTTGCTCCCTTATTTTTGGGAGATGCATTTCTTTCACATTAAAAAAAATCAATACGATATTCTGCACAACACTGTTCTTGTATAAGTTTACCAATATGAGCCTGCGTGATTTTCATTACTTTAAAGCTTACATTATACGTTCAAAACTATTTAGAATTTCACTGTGAATGTAGTCGGATACTATAAAACAAAAATAAGTGCTAAAAAATCAAATCATGGGATTTCAAGGCCCCTAAAAGAAACAAATCTGCTTCGCTATTTGTACCCAGACTTGACAAAAATTTTACAACCCGCTGACGTCAGAGGATTCAAGACTCTGAAAAGTAAGTGTTAAGTATTTAATACAATTTATAACAGAAAACCCTACTTAGTCTATTACTTTGGAATTATTAGCTCCCGTTTTAAAAAAAGCTGTAGATAATATTTCACCAGGTGGTGATTATTTAAAGAACGTGTTTAGAACTTGTGGATAGTATCCAGGGGATCTAAATACGATGGATATTACACAGTGTTTTAGTGCCTATAAAAGAAAAGCTGATAAGGCTGAGTTTGTTTCACTGTTAAATAAAATTCCTGTAACTGCAACTTACGAAACTTTGCATAAAATTTTTAGGGATAATTTATTGCGTAAGTTTCAAATACTTGATTCTCAACTATATCAATATAATACGAAGTCATCAAATATTTCTGCACACAATTTTGATTCATACCCAGCACAACCAAAACCTAATATACAGGATAGCAGTGAATCTTATGATTTAAAGTACAATAAGCTACACTCGTTAAGTTTTGAGGAAATTCTTTTTATTTTTAAAAGCGAGCTGTCATGTACATCACATGATACGTACAGTGAGAGTGAAAGTGAGATTTTTCTCTACATACATGTGTACAACACAAGTATTGATCGGTCAAGAAACTTATTGAATGAGAACTTTATAAAAATTAATGGTTGCTTCAATGAAGAGACAAATAATAAAACAATGAAACAAAGTGAACACTATGAAAACGATTCAAGTTCTAAAATACATGCTGTTGCTTGAGTTTGAATTTATTTTTAAGACAAAAGGCTCAAGGCCTTATGTCACCTTGGCAAATACATAGAAACAAGATAATGGTTGGGCTTGCGCACAAGCAACAACCTACAAGATTTAACAAGTTACAATGACAATTTTAATTATAAAAAACCATAACACTGTTATGACCCGACTTGTTCAAAGTATAGTCTTAACCGTTTTATTTTAATGTTATTCATATAGGTTTCTTAGGATTCAGCTCGTAAGCTTTATTTGTTCTTTTTAGTCAAGTAAAAATAATTATTTAAATAATATGGATAATTTAATCAATGTTTGATTTTTAATTTTTTTATTGAAACAATTCAAAACAGGTGTTCTCTTAGATACCGTCTATTCAGATCACTTCACAGATTTTGATATTAATTATATTACTGATGAAAAACTTACATCTATCACTGACTGTTGTTACTGCTGCTTCGGAGTTCCCTAAAGCTTCGTGCAGTAATTTCCAGTGATTACTTAAACTACACGAATGAGTTCGTGGCCTGTAAGTTGTTGCAGTTTTTGCCTTCTCTGCTATCGCCAGAACCACTTTCGTTGTATCTCGCTCCTTAGCGTAGTCTGATATTATTGATACTCTCGAACTGCACCCGAGTTGCCTCAGCCAACACGTTATGCCTTACGTGTATAAGGTACTCACGAGTCACGGGAGTCAAAAGTAGATTAAAACTTTAGAGGACAGGTGACGGACGTAAAAAGAACAATTTTTTCTCTTGATGGTGAGTTTTTATAGCGTCAGAGCGAGTACAAGAGGCCTTTGGTTGAATTAGGTCAACCAATGAGCGATATTCTTGCAGATTGCCTTGACAAAAAAAACAGTAGGCTTGCACGATGATGTTACATGTCATGATTTTATGTATTAGGAAATAACTGTACAACAGTAGCAATCGCATGTTTCTAACAAGTGCGATTGAGTTTTTTGGGTCAGTGATCATAAAAGCTCGCATCAGCAATATGAGAACGCTAAATACAAGTTTAATTGTGACAGTAAGTTTACAAATTTCGAAATTAATCCTTCTGGGGATTTTACAATCAATTTTGAATATAACGAATACAGCGTGTTAATTAAAAATTTAAAAATCGGTGTTATTAGAAGTGGACAATCAATGCGCAAGTAAATTATTCACTCATAGATACAATACAATTCATTCGTTCATACATATAATACGATTTCAATACATACGTGCATTCTTACAAAGAGTATGGCTGTACCATATGTCAGCATATTATTGAACGTTTACCTTAAAGCTATTACACACACGCATATACATGACGTATGAGCTTTTCTTGACAAATGAGCTTGCTTTATATTCACAATACATCTTATCTGAATTTGACGGACGGATAGCTTTTAGTTATAATATAATTCGTATCAACTCGGGAAGTAACAGCACAAACAATAATATAAAACTGACTC